GTGGAAGAGACAGAACTCGGGGGTTTCTGTCTGGAGAAGAGAAGATTAATGAGGAATTGCTGTCTCCAACTACCTGTCTTCAACTGTGCTCAAATAATCACTGTCTTCGGTTACCTAAAGGTGGTCAAAGATGGAGCCAGACTCTTCCTAGAGGTGCACAAGGGATAATGGATCAATAAAAGAAAACTATATAAACAATTGTTCCCCTGGATAAACAAAAGGCTTCAGATTTACCATGACGAAGTCTGAGTTCAGCACCGAGGTCTGCACCAAATGCTTCATTAGCAGCCATTTTTCAGGATTGGACTAATTTGGTAGCACTGTGAAAATAGCCAACACTTGCAAGACCACACCTGGAGCTTTGCGCGCTCCCCAGTACAGAAGGACATGGACATATTGGAGCGAGTTCAGTGGAGGCCACCAAGATGGTCGGGGTTGGAGCACAGGATGTACAAGGAGATTTTTGTGACCGCATGGTGAAACCAGTTCCCTGTATTTTATCCACAAAAACATTTCCTCCGTGACCCTACCAAGAGGAGCAAACTGCAGTAAGACCCACCAGGGTCAAAGCTGACAGCAGATGCCGACTGTCCCAGGACAACCCCCTGTGCTGGGTTTGGCTGGGGTAGAGTTCATTTTCTTCACAGTAGGGTGAAGAAATAGTAGGATGGGGCTGTGTTTTGGATTTGTGCTGGAAACAGCATTGATAACCCCGGGATGGTTTCGTTATTGCTGAGCAGGGCTGATGTGAAGTCAAGGTCTTTTCTGCTCCTCACCCCACTCCACCAGAAAGGAGGCTGGGGGGGGCAGAAGATGTTGGAGGGGGACACAGCCAGGACAGCTGACCCCAACTGACCAAAGGGATATTCCACACCATACGGTGTCATGCTCAGCACATAAAGCTGGGGGAAGAAGAAGGAAGAGGGGGACATTCGGAGTGATGGCATCTGTCTTCCCAAGTCACCATTATGTGTGATGGAGCCCTGCTTTCCTGGAGATGGCTGAGCGCCTGCTTGCCCATGGGAAGGAGTGAGTGAATTCCTTGGTTTTGCTTCACCTATGAAACTGTCTTTATCTCAACCCACGAGGGGTTTTTTTTCACTTTTATTCTTCTGATTCTCTCCCCCACCCCAACGGGGGGGAGTGAGCGAGCGGTTTTGTGGTGCTGAGTTAAACCACGACATCCCCTTGTGTCCTAGCCCTCCATCCCCAACCACACAGATGCTCTCTGGAAGGCTCCAGGGCATCATCTGATGGCAGCTCACATGGATCAAAAGAGTTGGTTGCCTCACCCTGGCTGCCAAAATAAGTTTTAGATCAAAGAGCTGGTGTAGAAGCAGCGTTAAAGGAGATCCCACAAGGAAATCTCATGGAGACCCCATGAGACCCTCGGTGCGGCCAAGGGGAACCGGCCGCATCCATGCAGATTGCTGGTATCACTGTTCTCCTCTTAAATTCCAGGATCTGGTGATTGTTGGCCCAGGGCCTGGCACCAAGGGGTTGTCCATCCCCACAGTTGCGTTGCCCCGTTGGGGGTGGCTCTCAAGCACGGGTCCAGCCCGGAGGAGAAGGCGGCGGGGTGGGGGGGGGAGATTTGCATTTCCAAAGTTATTCCTCCAGAAGTGAAAGCTGTAAACAAACCCAGAAGCGCTGCACCTCCACGAATTCCTCCAAAGCCAAAGCGTTTGAGCGTGCTCAGCGGAGCCGTTAAAAAAGACTGTAGCGAGCATCTTCCATTAACGTTACGACCGTGAAATATGACAATAAAATGATAGCCGTATGGTCGCAAATTTGCAGCCCGCCGAGTTGCTAGGGGTTTATCGTCACTCAAACGTGCAGAGAGCTGTAAAATGTTTACAGAAAGGGTCGTTTGCAGCTATAAAATCCTCTTTTCTCTCCTAAACAAGGCTGAGTGGAGCCATTTACAAACCCCTGAATGTTCATCGGGGGAGAGGGGAACATCTGTTCTCTCCAGGAGTTTTCAGTGATCTTCTCGAACAAATTAACTAAAATGGGTGCTTTCTAATTAAATTAGCACTCGATTGGAATGGTTTGCATTGGTGCGCTTGCTTACAATTAGCGCGGGGAGGCCAGTTAGGCTCCAGCGCAGGCTATTTAACTGGAAGGTGAAATATGGAAAAGCCCATTACCTGGAAACGGGTGTCGGAGGGGTAGGGGAGCCCATGTTCCCTCCGGCTGTGCCCTCACGGTTGGAGAACACAAGGAGGTGAAGGATGGGATGCCACCAAGCCCACCCTTCCTAGCTGGGATGCTTGGCTGGAAGCGGTTTGCTCTCCCTGTGCCGCACGAATGGGCTTTTTGGAGGATGCTTGGAAAGCACCAGCCCCCTCAAATTCCTCCTCTGGCCCCAGATTACAAAGCTCTTCTTGCAGAGCGGGAACCTTCCCCATGGGAGGACGACAGCAGGTTCCGCTCCACGCATGCAGACCACATCACTCCTTTCCAGTCCCCTTTTTCTATATCCCAAGGCCAGAGGCTGCAGACCCCCATGGAGACTCTGCAAGCCGATGCTGTTGACCATGCTGGTCCTTAAAGGTCATCTCCAAACCCCTGCTCCATCCCTCACACACATGATGTCGCTGTTTTCCTTCATTCTTCTTGCATTTACCAGTATTAGAAGGGCATTTTCTCAAATTGTGACCGTTTAACCACGCAATTCAGCTCACTCCGTAATAATAATCTGTCCTCCTCCTTATTTACTACCCCGCCAATTTGTGTGTCACCTTCAGCCTTTACAAGCAGAAACAGAGTCTTATCCTTGGTACAGAGGCTGCAACGGGGAGGGTGCAGACCCCCAAGCCCCATCGCAGACACCAGCTACCATGGAGAACTACACAAGGACTCATCCTGACCACCCGCTTTGCTCAAAACAGCACCTCAAGCTCACAAGCGCTGGTCCTGGCTTTCACAGAATCCCAGCATGGTCAGGGTTGGAAAGGACCTCGGGAGCTCACCCAGTCCCACCCCCCTGCCCAAGCAGGCTCACCCAGAGCAGGGGGCACAGGACGTTGTCCAGGCGGGGGTTGAATATCTCCAGAAAAGGAGACTCCAGAGCCCCCCTGGGCAGCCTGGGCCAGGGCTCGGGCACCCTCAAAGTCAACAAGTTCTTCCTCATGTTTAACTGGAACCTCTTCTGCTTCAGTTTGTGCCCATTGCCCCTTGTCCTGTCACTGGGCACCACCGAGAAGAGTCTGGCTCCGTCCTCGTGACCCCCACCCTTGAGATATTTGTAGGTGTTGATGAGATCCCCTCTCAGCCTTCTCTTCTCCAGGCTGAACAAGCCCAGCTCCCTCAGCCTTTCCTCATAGGGGAGATGCTCCAGTCCCCCCATCATCCTTGTTGCCCTCCTCTGGACTCTCTCTAGGAGTTCCTTTAAAGGTGATTTGGCCACCATGAAGCATTTGGTCCTTTAGCAGCCTCTTCAGATGATGGCTCCTTAGTGGCTGGAGCTCCTTGTCTCCCGTTACGTTATGAGGGTCCCCAGCTGCTGCTGTGCCCCCAGGCCCCTTCGTTTGTGTGTTGAGATGAGACTTTAATTACTGAGCACACCCCAGTGCTGAGCATGGGCAAGCCCAGGCACCAACAGCATCCCGGCCTTACCGCGTGCGATCGCCGCATCCGTTTGGCATGGAAACGGCTTCATCATCAGATGATTTTACAGCCCTCTGCAATTCCTGCCTGCTTTTCCTGTCCTATGGATCCTCCAGCATCCGCTTTCCAAACATCACGTGCTCCCCAGGGCAAAGGAGCACGCTGCGATGAGCACCCCAAGCCCGGACCTGCCGGCTCCCCGCAGCCTTCCTCCCGACATCCCTGGACTGAACCAGCTCCTTCTACTCATTCTCCCACCCCAAACACCTGGAAATCGTCCTCCCCTGAACGTGGAAATTGGAGTTAGGAGGAAAAGGATGCCCTCGCTGCCAGGATGATGCCTCTGCCCCCTTGACCGAGCTACTCCAGGCTGCCAAGTGTAATCCAAGGTGTTTCGACAGCTTTCTTGATTAATTGCTCTGTTCCTCATCACAGAGATTAAAAAAAAAACAAACCCAATGAAGCTGCAGCTTTGGGAGCGTTTCCCCGCCCCCGCCACCGAGATCAAAAGGGAGTTGAGCCAGGGCCGAGGAGAGGGAAGGAGGGAGGTGTGCGGGGGGAAGAAATCCCGGGGAAGGGAAGCCGAGTGCTTCACCTCATGTCACGGAGAGGAACTTTCCCAGCCGGAACGGTCCCTCGCTGTCTTCGCTGTGCCGTGGTTCGACAGCGCACGCGCTCGCCTGTGATTTCAGGAATACGTGGCTAATCCTGGGAATTCAGCATTCAGGCACCTCAGCCCTCCCTGCCTCGAAGCGCTTTGTGGTCAAGCCAGGCAAAGCCTTGCAGATCCTCAGCACTCACTTAGAATAGAATCATAGAATCACTTTGGTTGGAAAAGACCTTTGAGATCATCGAGTCCAACCTTTAACCTAACCCTGCCATCCCACCACTAAACCCTGTCCCTCAGCACCTCATCTGCCCTTCTTTTAAATCCCTCCAGGGATGGGGACTCGACCACCTCCCTGGGCAGCCCATTCCAGAGCCTGACAACCCTTTCAGTGAAGAAGTTTTTCCTAATGTCCAACCTAACCCTGCCCTGGCGCAGCTTCAAACCATTCCCCCTCGTCCTATCATCTGTTACCAGGGAGAAGAGGCCGACCCCCACCTCACTACAGCCTCCTCTCAGGCAGTTGTAGAGGGTGGTAAGGTCTCCCCTTGCAAACCCCAAGCCACCTCCCACCAGGGATGGGTTTTATTCCAAAGCTTCAAAGCTATTTCACACCAGGAAGTGTGTGCGATGGATGGCCCAGAGGTCCTGAGATGGCCCAGAGGTCCTTAGGTGGTCCAGAGGTCCTGAGGTGGCCCAGAGGTCCTTAGGTGGTCCAGACGTCCTGAGGTGGTCCAGAGATCCAGAGATGGCCCAGAGGTCCTGAGCAGACGTCCTGAGGTGGTCCAGAGATCCAGAGATGGTCCAGAGGTCCTGAGATGGCCCAGATGTCCTGAGGTGGTCCAGAGGTCCTGAGATGGCCCAGACGTCCTGAGGTGGTCCAGAGATCCAGAGATGGTCCAGAGGTCCTGAGATGGCCCAGATGTCCTGAGGTGGTCCAGAGGTCCTGAGGTGGTCCAGAGATCCGGAGATGGCCCAGAGGTCCTTAGGTGGTCCAGAGGTCCTGAGGTGGCCCAGAGGTCCTGAGATGGCCCAGAGGTCCTGAGGTGGTCCAGAGATCCGGAGATGGCCCAGACATCCTGAGGTGGTTCAGAGGTCCTGAGGTGGTCCAGAGGTTCTGAGAGGGCCCAGAGATCCAGAGATGGTCCAGAGGTCCTGAGACGGCCCAGAGGTCTTAAGACGGTCCAGAGGGTCTTTCTGCGGACCCAGCGATGAAGCACCCTCCCACTAGGGACCGCTGCGGCTCCATCACAGGAACGAGACTGGATTTATCATCAGATCATTTGTAGAATAAGGAAGAAGGAGCCGATGACAAAAAGATGGGGACAAAATCCTACCGCGTGGTTTCGGGAGCAGAGCCAGGGGCTCGTGTCCCTGTGTGACCAGAGATGCAAATCCCAGTTGCCATCCCAGTTTGAGCTCCCAGCGTAACTGGTTTGGCAACTCACCAGGAACACTGATCCCACCAAAACCTATGGAGAGCAAGTGCTTCCTACCTGGCTCGTCCTCCGACTCTTCCTCGTCCTTCTCCACTTTGCAGCCCTGGTCACCGGGGGATGCTGAGGACTGGAGGGAGATGAAGGACGGCAGCTTTTGCAGCCAGCTGGTGGTTGAGGTGTCCGCCTCTTTCCCAAATTTCATCTCTTGCTCCGCGCTGGAGGGTCCAGGCATTTCCCCATCATCGTGGAGCTGAGCTGGATCATTCCTGTGGGAAGCACATGGAAAAAAAAATAAGGAAAAATAAAACAATCCCACTTGGCAGTGCTGCGCATGGCATCACGTGCAATGGAGGAGGCTGGGGTGAACCACCCGAGCCACACACGGAGGGTCTCCAGGCTCCATCCCAGGCTCCTCTGTATCTCTGATTTCCCAGGAGCCAGCTGGGATTCAGCTGGAGTTTCTCACTCCCCGGCTGGATTCCCTGCCCTGCGCTTCCCTGCAGCTTTCAGATGCTCGTGGAGGTGCTGGGCTCCCCTTCAGGTGCCGGCTGGGCAGAGCAAGTGGAGGACAGGGGAGATGGAGGGCGTAGGGAGCAGGGATGGCTCAGTGATGCCCCGCTGGGCTTGGCTCAGCCCCAGCCCCGCTGCTCTCCTCCGAGCCCAGCTAACATGACACTTCAGCTCGTTCGACATCGATGATGGTGCCAATAAAGGAAAAAAAATACCCCCTGAGCAACTTCCAAGCCTCGGGTGTGCTCCTTTCCCCGTGGAGGATGCCAGGAGCTGGCCTCAGGATGGGAGGGGGGTGCCTGCCCACCGCCCAGACGTGCGCTCATGCCTCCTTTACCTAATAAGAGCAAGGAGCTATTTTACACCTCGTTCACACCGGGGACGTGAGCTGGGTGTCATTCCAAGGCTCTTCTGTCACCCGGGATAAGTTCGGAGAGCCCACTGAGCACTCGTCCCCCCCTCTGCTACCTTACAAGGCAGGGCCAGGATGAGGCCCCAGATCGGGCAAGAGCATGGACCAAGCTGGCACAGCCCCCAGGTCCCCCCATTTCCATCCCACCTTCACCTCCACGTCCCGCTGCAAAGAGCTGTGCAGGAGCCGAGCATCTGAGCCGGTATTTTCACCTCCCGCTAAGCCGGGTTTTTAAATTTTGGCTTTTAAAGCCAAATTTCATATCGGCTTTGATTTTAATTACGTTGGGATGTAGTCATTTTGCAGGCAGGGCTCGGGGGTGAGGGCAGAGGAAGGCAAGGATGTGCCAAGCTCAGGAAAATCTCTCTCCCTGCAGGGATGAGGACCAATGTGTCCATCAGCCTGCAGGCTCTGTCCCAGCACCCAAAAGCATCAGAGAGAGGTAAGAGAGCTTCCAAGGATTAACCAAGAAACCAGCCCAGCATCAAAAGGTTTCACAAAGAACTTCTGTATCTCCGCATCTATCTCCACCCCTCCTTCTTCAGGCAATGAGTCCAACCCCAATGGCAAACCCCTTCGTGCCGTGCCGAGGGCTCAGCTCTGCTCTCCGCCACGGAGGTGAGGAAGAGAGAAGAAGGGGGGATGATGGCTTCCAGTTTCCCACAGAGCTATGGATACGCTGTACACACTTTTGGTGGTGGAGTCTCCATCAGGGCTCTTCCACCTCCCAGGAGGAAGGTCTACAAAAGCTTTGGAGATACCTGGAGGTGCCGAAGCCCCGGGCGGCACATTTCGAAGGGCAAAGATACCCACACCCCAGTACACATCGGGTAGCAAGACACGACCTATCCTCTCTTTCCCCTCCTTCAGCTCTGCCTGGAGACCTCTCCCTCGAGCGCAGACCCTTCCCAACCCCATTGCCCATTGGTGGCTCTATTGAGAAGGCACCACAGTGACCCTCATCAGCAACACCTTCAAATAAACCAGCACGCAGATGGATACATGTCTGGAAGAAGGAACATCCAGAGCAGGCTGGGAAGAAAATAATTTAAGAGCAGCAAAGCAAGTTTCTTCTGCCCTTTCCTACCTGCCCGTCTCCTCCCGGACCCATCTCCACTTGGAGGGGGGTTCGCTGCGGTCCCCATCTTCTGCCTCTCTTGGGTGGCGCTTCTTCTGTGGGTGCAGCAGCTTGCACCGGGCCCCCCTGGGGCAGACACCTTTCTTGGCAAAGTCGGGGCAAACCAGTGTGTGCTTCTTCTTGCACTGCGAGGGAAGAAGAGAGCAACATCAGAAAGGTAGAGAAAGCCTCGCAGCGAGCACAGGTACCCAGAGCTGGGCTCCTTCAGGTGGCACCAACACGTTGCTAAAGGAAGAGAAGGATGTGTTGGTGCTTCCTTCTCCATATCGAAATACTATTCCGTGCCAAAACATTATTAAAAATAATGCTCTCCTCTGGGAGACACTACACGCTCACCCACAGCTTTCCAAGTGCCTGGTTTTATGGACCCAAACCACCAAAGTCTTAACAGCAATGATCAGCCCCCAAGGTGGTGATGCTGGGAGGGCCCAAAGAGGTTAACTGGGCTGAAGGAGCTGGTTTTGGAAAGGACACAGGGTCTTCTTGTCCCAGCCGTGCTTGGGACTTGAGAAGGAGCTGGGAAGAGCAGCAACAAAGCACGTTCCTTTTAGGATTTATTTTGAGATCTCTGCCTGGACCACCCCTCCTGATGAAGCTGGCCCAGGACTGAAGCTCAACCAGCTCAGCTTGGGGCTTGGGAATGAGCTTGGCCAACGCTCTCCTATCCGGAGAGACTTCCTGCGGCCATGGCACAGCACTGGCATCAAGATGTTCACCTCTAAAAGCATTTCTGCACTCCCAGCTTGGCATTTTGGTGGCTCCCAGCAGCGACGCTCACAGCCATCCCCACAGCCACCGCTGTGCCGATGGGAGGGAGACATCAGCAGTGCTCCACAGCTTCCTCTGGACAAGGTTTTCTGCTGGGAAATGGCACTTTTTGGCAGGAGGAAAGGCAAGAAGAGATGCAGGCAGGGCAGAGCAGACATGTTCAGGTGTGATTTCCAACTGGGTGGCTGGGAACTTTGGGTGGGGGAAGGGAGAAAGAACAGCCTCTCCCTAATCTCCAACTATTCCCAACACTGTGACAGCAACACCCAGCGACCCAGAGAGCTCGTCCCAGCGTATCGCAAGAGATGCAAGGTGGGAGCAGGTCCTGGAGCCCTGCTCGGCCCCACGATGCCCTGGGGGGAACGCACGCCCACCCAGGATGCTCCCTCTCACCTGATGAGCCCACCTTGGCTCTCGTAGGGCGACAGGCACCACACCACGACACCACAGCAAGCCCCAACCCAAGACGCGTGGCACAACGAAGGCTCCGCAACACCAGGACCCATTCGCCTGTGCACCTTCTCCAAGAGAAAAGACACAGCCTGCTTTTTCCCCACGTGGGTCCTTCCATGCTTGGATGCCCACGCTGCAAACCTCCTTGCTGCAGGGCAGCACAAATACTCAAATTTTGCACAGGTTCGAGCGAAAACAGGACAAATCCATGGGAAGAGACATGCAGTGAGGGTTTCAGCGTGATCATTCTTGCCTGTTTATAAAAATGTATCTTCCCGACGCTGCGGGATGTGGGTGAGCTCCTGCCCTTTTAATGTAACTTGACTTTGGGGGCATGGGAGCAGGTCCCCACGCTGACTTTTGGGATGAAGTGGCAGCCCTGCTGAGCCGTGGCAGCTCTCTCCTTAAAAGGGCAGAAGGGTTTGGCAGCTCTGCCGCCCAGGGCCGATCAATGAAGTCAGCAGCAGAGGAAGGAGCTCATCTGCTGGAGGTTGGGGACGGCGTTGAGCAGCAGGAGGGCCAGGGATCTGGATGGACACAGGGACACCAGCTTGATGGGGGGGACTGCACAGCAACAGCATCGCTTTTCCACTGAAAATTCATTAAAAAACCCAGTTCCTATGACTTTTTCCCTCTATTTGAAGAAGCATCAATGGCAAGTAAGTCTACAAGCCAACGGGCAACCTGAAAGTAGAGTCATCTCAAAACAGAGCTCAGGCTCCGCCATTACTCCAAAATCCTATGTTCCATTGAATGGTTTGGGTTGGAAGGGACCTTTGAAGGGCATTCAGTCCAACCCCTCAACATCTCCCACTAGAGCAGGTTGCTCAAAGCCTCATCCAACCCAACCTTAAAACACTTCCAATGATGGGGCATCCACAGCCTCTCTTGGGCAACCTGTTCCACTGTCTCACCACCGTCATCATAAAATATTTCTTCCTTATGTCCAGTCTAACCCTACCCTCTTTCAGTTTAAAACCGTTGCCCCTTGTCCTGTCACTCCAGGACTTGGTAAAAAGTCTGTGCCCATCTTTCTTATCGTCCCCCTTTAAGCATGGCAAGGCCACACTCAGGTCTCCTCGGAGCCTTCTCTTCTCCAGGCTGAACCACCCCAACCCTCTCAGTCTCTCTCCATAGCAGAGCTGTCCCAGCCCTTGGACCATTCCCGTGGCCTCCTCTGGCCCTGCTCCAACAGGTCCCTGTCTGTCCTGGGCTGGGGACCCCCGAGCTGGACGCAGGGCTCCAGGGGGGTCTCAGGCCAGCGGAGCAGAGGGACAGAACCCCCTCCCCCGCCCCCC